AGAACTGAAGTTGTTGTCTTGATTTTGAAAACTGTCAAGTAAAGGTTTTACAACATTCTAACATACTTCTGGTTACTTTGGTTCCATGGTGTTTGCTTAACAAATTAACTATGGCCTCTGTGGTTGTAGTAGAAAAGTTCTCTTACACGTATCACTCTAATTCTGTGTATCTCATCCTATTTACAATTTACATAATTCAGAGTCAACAAAATATCAATTGGCATCTTTTTTCAGGTCAGTACCGCATGGGGCATAGGTCTCATTATTGGTCCAGCTCTTGGAGGTTTCTTTGCACAGGTAATGAAGTTTTCAATATAAAATAACTAATAATAGTGCATCTAGGGAGTTCCGACATGGACAAAATAGGACATGACACTTACCTAAGAATTTGGAAGTAGCATGTCACTTAATTAAGTAAAAACAAAGACACGTACAGATCTTTTCCCACCACTGTTTCTGAACTTTTACTCTCAAACATTTGAGCACCTTAACCTCTGATACTTTGTGGATACTGATACGAGTTCATGTCAAACTTGGTGGAAAGAATCATATCATGGAATCTTTTATCATTCTTTGAAAATATATATAAACAGATTTATACACAAATGTTGATAGCTATGTATGAGGTTTATACACGAGTGAATAGTTATGAGCATGCTAATATCCAGAGAACTAAAATGATTTCTTCCTTAAAAGTCGAATACCGGGACCTAGAAGGAAGTGAACTTTGGTTTAAAGTTGACTGAAGCCAAATTTGCAAAAGACGAAAGAGGGGATCTCTGAACTTTATTCTTCCTTTTGACTTTCAATTTAACTGCAACTTTTGGAAAAACCTGGTTATGCACGATACCCAGTTTTCACTGTTCCATGGGCCATTTCCGTCTGAGCTCAAATATCTCACATATTTATGCTTGGATTCTCTTTAACTCATTTTTCTTTAATCGGACTTCATCAATCCTTTGCCAGCTTCCTAATATCAACATTCTCTTTGCATTAGTTGCCCTGTTTTCCAACAACTTGATCTCTCCTCTTTGCTTAGCCGTCTTAATCTGGGAATGCATACATTTTCTTAATTATCTATTTCAAGGTAGCCTCTTTGTGGTTTAGAATGCTTAGCACTTAGAGGCTGATATTTCAAAGATAATGTTTCCAAGAGTAATATAACCTGATGAGATAGATAGTATACAAATCAATATATGAATAAAGAATGCTTTTTAGATTCCACTACTTCATTTAAGTGTCAAATTAGCAAACAGAGTTTAACAATTTCAGAAGCTAACGTATAAGTTCTTCGCACGAGTGTTATAGTGAAATACAATTAGACAAATACTCAATTATTTACTTGTTATTGTTGAAATATTTTGTGCACTATGAGCCTATTCTTCATTATTAATATATATTTTAAGAAATATTTTGTGCACTATGAGCCTATTCTTCATTATTAATATATATTTTATCAGCCTGCAGAGAAATTTCCAGGTATCATTTCTGAAGAATCATTTCTTGGGAGGTATGAACGGTGCGCTATTTACTTCAATTTGGTTGCCTTATTATCTTTCTCATCTTTCCAAACCATCGCGTGTATAGGTTTCCTTACTTCTTGCCGTGTTTCTGTATATCACTCTTTGCCGTTGGAGTACTTATTGCCTGTTATTGGCTTCCAGTGAGTAACAATCTCATTTCTAGTCTTATTTTATTTTTCTTTCCTTGATATGCTCAATATTCTCTTCGATAGGCGTGCAACATTGTTCATCTTCTTTATGTTTGTACAATTTTTGTTATCAAATCAAGTACTTCGCTATAAATTCTCATAGACACATTTCCTTATCATCATAGGTAGACAATAAGATAATTGGTTCTGTGCTATTACTGTTCCTGCTAGTGCACCATAACTCCGAAGTTTTTGTGAAGGATAATGCAGTTATCCTTTAATGCTCCATAGCGGATTGAGTCCCCTATGTGGGCTGAATTTTTCCCCACATATTGACTTTGTATTTTTTAATTAACATTAATAATGTCTTTCCTGTTATCAAATCCCTAGGTAATTTTTTTTTCAAGGCTCCAATTCCCCATGAAGAGCAATGACATGAGGTCAAAACTTCACTATTCAGTGCTTGATGATTGTTCAGTGTCTTTAATACATACATCTGCCATAAAAAATGCTTCTTGTACTTATTGGGCATTTAAGTTTTATGTTTTCTTCACTCTGTCTGCAGAAAAGCTTTAACCTATTTTGCAATGCTAAGTATATTAAACATATTGGTTTTTTTATTTTTTTCTTATTGGTTCTTTTATTTTTTTCTTATTGGTTCTGTTAAGGGCTTAGTTTTGTCTTTGCTTTAAGCCTGTATTATGATTTGGTAAATTGAGTAGCTACAAAGAAATAATATGTCAGAACACAATTTGTTTTTTAATATGTTTCCATTTTGATGATCATTATGCAGGAAACATTGCACAATCATCCTGAAAGCAAAACAACAGATGAGACAATCGAACCTCTGGAGGCATCTTATAATGGTTCTGATATGAGAGAAAAGGATGTGGAAGATGAAGGAAGGGCTCAGTCTAATAAGGAAAATCTTCTTACAAATTGGCCACTAATGTCATCTATCATTGTGTATTGTGTTTTCTCCCTTCATGATATGGCCTATTCCGAGGTATATTTTGATGTTTACCATGTCTTTCTGAATGTTTACTGAACTTACTATTATGTATTATTCTGAAATTAACGTGCTTTAGCAGTAATCTTGACTGTAAAAGTATAATCCCACTTTTGCCTAAAATGAGGTACAATTGCCTCAAATGAGGACTAATTCCTAACAGGGAGCCAAGATTACTTTTGCCTTTCACCTTCTCTGCATCTCAAGGAGAAAAGAAGAAAGAATGGAGGAAAGAACGAACTAACTTTAAACACCACAATTGTAGACATTCATCACTTTCAGTTCTGAGGGTGGACACCTAATAAGACCAAGTACACAAAAAATTTCATGGACACAAAGTAATCTTTTGAAGTATTTTCATTCAGAGATCAAATACCGTTAAAACGAGATTGCAGAAGAATATTCATAAAACGTTGCAGAGTAATAGGGCCAAGTATTGGTTAAAGTAATGGCTATATTAGGCAATCTAATGTCGTAATTTTGACAGAATACTAAACTAGGTTTTGCACTTATAATAAACATGTACAGTTCTAACCCATGGTTGATCATTTTTATCACTCAATATTTTACTGTCATTATGCTCTTCTGTCAATATGTATTGATTTCTAGTTACATTTACCACTAGATATTCTCTCTATGGGCTGAGAGCGACAGAAAATTTGGAGGGTTAAGTTTTTCATCGGAGGATGTTGGCGAGGTTCTTGCGATATCAGGTATGTAAATGTGCAGCCCACCTCTTCGTTAAATGAAATGTTCTCATTTTCCCGACTAACTCTGCAACATTATAGATTATGGTTTTGGTCTCTGTAATTTAGTTAAAATGCAGTTGATTGAATAAAGATTGGTAGCTTTTGTTTTCCAGATATTTTTCAGTAAATGGTGTAGGTTCAACTCTAGTTCACTCAATACCAATTTAGTTGCACATATGTTGATCACCCCTTTTACAGTTGCTATAAGAGAAAGAATGGAACTTTTCATCAGTTCCTTGGTTTATAGTATCTTATAAAAATCTAATTGATCCATATACCTTGATTTCTAATTATAATTTATTGACATGTAGGTTTCAGTCTTCTAGTATTTCAACTGTTTCTTTATCCGCCAGCAGAGAGACTCCTCGGGCCCATAAATTTATCTCGTGTTTCAGCGGTATACATTCATGCTCACCTCTCTTCATCTTTTGATGTTTTATTCTATGTTTCCACACTTCACCATGATATTCAATGATTTCAATATGCAGGCCATATCTATACCACTGCTTGCCAGTCATCCCTTTATGACTAATCTATCAGGACTCGTGCTTTCAGTAGCAGTAAATTGTGCATCCTTGTTGAAGAATGTTCTTTCGGTGAGTCAAAATTCGTACGAAGCTTTGTTTAATCATTGTGAATTAATACAGGAAATACATGTTGTAAATGTTTGAAGCCAAATTCTTTCTTTTTTCTTAAGCGTAATATTGCCATCTAATGCTCTTGCTTATTTTCCAAGCAGATGATTATTATTACGGGAACATTCATTTTGCAAAATAATGCTGTGGTAATTTTCTTTTCATATCACTTTACATTATAATTATTTTTGGTAACTAAGCAATTATGGCTTCAGACAAATGGCATAACAATTATTTACTGATAACCCTTGTTGCAAACAACAGGCTCAACACCAAAGAGGAGCTGCAAATGGCATTTCAATGACTGCAATGTCTTACAATTTGTTTTTTAATATGTTTCCATTTTGATGATCATTATGCAGGAAACATTGCACAATCATCCTGAAAGCAAAACAACAGATGAGACAATCGAACCTCTGGAGGCATCTTATAATGGTTCTGATATGAGAGAAAAGGATGTGGAAGATGAAGGAAGGGCTCAGTCTAATAAGGAAAATCTTCTTACAAATTGGCCACTAATGTCATCTATCATTGTGTATTGTGTTTTCTCCCTTCATGATATGGCCTATTCCGAGGTATATTTTGATGTTTACCATGTCTTTCTGAATGTTTACTGAACTTACTATTATGTATTATTCTGAAATTAACGTGCTTTAGCAGTAATCTTGACTGTAAAAGTATAATCCCACTTTTGCCTAAAATGAGGTACAATTGCCTCAAATGAGGACTAATTCCTAACAGGGAGCCAAGATTACTTTTGCCTTTCACCTTCTCTGCATCTCAAGGAGAAAAGAAGAAAGAATGGAGGAAAGAACGAACTAACTTTAAACACCACAATTGTAGACATTCATCACTTTCAGTTCTGAGGGTGGACACCTAATAAGACCAAGTACACAAAAAATTTCATGGACACAAAGTAATCTTTTGAAGTATTTTCATTCAGAGATCAAATAAATTTTATCTTCCATTGTATGGTTAAAACGAGATTGCAGAAGAATATTCATAAAACGTTGCAGAGTAATAGGGCCAAGTATTGGTTAAAGTAATGGCTATATTAGGCAATCTAATGTCGTAATTTTGACAGAATACTAAACTAGGTTTTGCACTTATAATAAACATGTACAGTTCTAACCCATGGTTGATCATTTTTATCACTCAATATTTTACTGTCATTATGCTCTTCTGTCAATATGTATTGATTTCTAGTTACATTTACCACTAGATATTCTCTCTATGGGCTGAGAGCGACAGAAAATTTGGAGGGTTAAGTTTTTCATCGGAGGATGTTGGCGAGGTTCTTGCGATATCAGGTATGTAAATGTGCAGCCCACCTCTTCGTTAAATGAAATGTTCTCATTTTCCCGACTAACTCTGCAACATTATAGATTATGGTTTTGGTCTCTGTAATTTAGTTAAAATGCAGTTGATTGAATAAAGATTGGTAGCTTTTGTTTTCCAGATATTTTTCAGTAAATGGTGTAGGTTCAACTCTAGTTCACTCAATACCAATTTAGTTGCACATATGTTGATCACCCCTTTTACAGTTGCTATAAGAGAAAGAATGGAACTTTTCATCAGTTCCTTGGTTTATAGTATCTTATAAAAATCTAATTGATCCATATACCTTGATTTCTAATTATAATTTATTGACATGTAGGTTTCAGTCTTCTAGTATTTCAACTGTTTCTTTATCCGCCAGCAGAGAGACTCCTCGGGCCCATAAATTTATCTCGTGTTTCAGCGGTATACATTCATGCTCACCTCTCTTCATCTTTTGATGTTTTATTCTATGTTTCCACACTTCACCATGATATTCAATGATTTCAATATGCAGGCCATATCTATACCACTGCTTGCCAGTCATCCCTTTATGACTAATCTATCAGGACTCGTGCTTTCAGTAGCAGTAAATTGTGCATCCTTGTTGAAGAATGTTCTTTCGGTGAGTCAAAATTCGTACGAAGCTTTGTTTAATCATTGTGAATTAATACAGGAAATACATGTTGTAAATGTTTGAAGCCAAATTCTTTCTTTTTTCTTAAGCGTAATATTGCCATCTAATGCTCTTGCTTATTTTCCAAGCAGATGATTATTATTACGGGAACATTCATTTTGCAAAATAATGCTGTGGTAATTTTCTTTTCATATCACTTTACATTATAATTATTTTTGGTAACTAAGCAATTATGGCTTCAGACAAATGGCATAACAATTATTTACTGATAACCCTTGTTGCAAACAACAGGCTCAACACCAAAGAGGAGCTGCAAATGGCATTTCAATGACTGCAATGTCTTTCTTCAAAGCTATTGCTCCCGCAGCTGCAGGTGTAATGTAAGTATAAATATTTCTTTTTGTTATATTCTAAATTTTGATACCGTTATGGCATGATGATATGTCTAAATTTAGATACCATTACGGTATGCATATTGACATGTCATTTTTTTAGGCTGTTTATGAAACAGTACTAGCCGTATTTACTTTATTGAAACATATATCATTTTCGAAAGAGTAATGTGTGCTCGTGCAAGAGATTTGAGACTGAACCTTTTAAAGTCTGTTTTTGTTTTTATAAAATTGCTCGATGAATATTTGTCATGTTTCATTTTATTATTGAAAACTAATCATCTTTATTTGCAGATTTTCATGGGCACAAAAGCGCCAAGATGCTTCCTTCTTACCAGGTATTATTTAAGTTATATTTAACCAACTAATTTGAAAATATCGTCACAGGGAAGAAGAATAGTGAGCATGTGCATTTAAATAAAATTAAAATGTTACTAACCCATGTTCAAGTGTAGTCCCTCCCAGTGCAAGAAATAGAAGCTCTGGATAAATATAGGTTTAGGGTCTTGTATTTAATTGAGTTATGGATATCAAATGCGAGTTGATGTAGATTAAGATGCAAGATATGGGTACTAAACGCAATTTTTTGAACTGAGAACATGTTTATTGATGCTGCAGGTGATCAAATGGTTTTCTTCATATTGATCCTGGTAGAGTTCATCGGCCTCATGATGACCTTCAAACCCTTTCTAGCAGTCAAAAACTGAAATGTAAATTTTAGTACATAATACCCGATAGAGATCTGAAGATGAAGAGTTTCGCTCAATTATTTCACCAAGAGTTCGAGGAACTATTCGGCCTCGATATGTTGTATACATCAGTGGCATGTCAATTGTTTGCTTCAATTTGTTTCTTTTTAACAACTGCCAATTGAGCTTTTCAATTTTGTCATAATTGGCGGTTGTTAGAATCTAAAGTATAGCAATTGAGCTTTTCAATTTTTTCATAATTGGTGGTTGTTAGAATCTAAAGAATAGTTTCTGTTCATAGATGAATAGTAATCTGATACTGCGTAATTAATGATCATGCTGTTTTTCTTCTTTTTTTGCCCCCTTCTTATGCCTTGTGAATATAGATTCTTCTCTTGACACCATTTCTTCTCTGTGGATGGTACACATGGTAAAAAATAATAATGCATATGTTGTGGCGAATGATAATTTTGCGATAAAGTATGCATTGGGTTCATTATTCTTTTTCGAATTAAGTGGTTAAATATGTCGTGGAATTTTATTTATGTACAACCACATAATTTTTTTATTTTGAGTTCTTTTTAATTGCTCGATCAACATGATATTCATTTACTAATCTCATGAGGAAGGGGCCTTCGCCAAATATTTCAAAAGGTCTCGCTGCTGCACCAAAACTTTTGATTTGTGGTGAGGATTGAGAAATATTATAGTTTTATATTCTACTATGTTTCTTGCCAATTTTAGAAAATCTGGTTTAAATTTGAACCTAGATTACTATGATATCATCTTAAAGAATCTGTCATTGCACCTACTGTAATACCCCAACCCTTGAGAGGGTGATGTGATTAGTATTGATAGATTTGATTAGAATACTCATACCACCAAGATGCATCTTTTTTTTGGGAACCCAACTCTTAGAAACTCCAAAGTTAAGCGTGTTTGGCCTGGAGAAATTCTAGGATGGGTGACCCACTGGGAAGTTTTTCAGGGAGCGCGTGAGTGAGGACAAAACGTGCTGAAAAGACATGTGGTGGTTTGTGAAGCCAGTCCATCAGATCTAATAGCGTACCGACTCCGGGATTCCGGGACGGGGTGTTACACCTACGCTCCAAAGATTAGTTGTGGTGAAGGTTGAGTGTAACTATTCTCAAGAAGAATAGGGGATTCAAATCCGACACAAACACTACTACATCTCTTATCATCCTAAGTATTTTATCCTCATTGATATTTTTATCCTTCCTTTGTATTCGAAGTCTTGCCTATAATTGTCTACATACGCAGACAACGAATATTACAATTTTGATGTGAACAAAAATGCCGCTTGCAAGATTAAAGCTGCATAAGGGTAATCAGGTAAAATTAACAGCCACTTGTCAGATGTAATGAATGCATGTCTATTGAGTTCTCCAAAAGTCACAACATATATCTTTCTCTCCAAAATCACAGCAACTCTCTCTCTCTCTCTCTGTCTCTCTTCAACATCTCCCTATCCAAAAAGTCACGACAACTCTCTCTCTCTCCAAAACTCGTCCCAACTTATCTAATGCTACGTTTGCCTTCAACTGCATCTCTATCAACGGTCTTCTTCAACCTTCGTCTTCAACCTTCATCTTCAACCACCGTCTTCAACCTTTGTCATCGTTAAATTATTTTGACGTTTTAATGGTAAGTTTATGAAATTTGTTTGATTTTTCGTCTAAAAGTTTTAGGTTTAACCTAAAAGATCGTCGCTTTTTGTTGTAAAAGGTGAAAAATTACCAATTTTTTGAAAAGTTACCTATTTTTTGAAGAAACCAGTTGGAAAACCAGTTGAAAAATGAAGAAACCAGTTGGAAAACCAGTTGAAAAACGAAGGCACGCATGTGTGAATCGAGATTCACTGCAGTGAATCTCGATTCACTGCAGTGAATCCGGATCCAGTTATGTGAGGTATTTGTTTTTTACCATAAAAAATCGTAACTTTTTGCTGTAAAAGGTGAAAATTTTCACCTTTTAGTCTGAAATGTTTCCTGTTTTTTGAAGAAACCAGTTGAAAAACGAAGACACGCATGTGTGAATCTAGATTCACTGCAGTGAATCCAGATCCAGTTATGTGAGGTGTTTGTTTTTTACCATAAAAAATCGTAACTTTTTGCTGTAAAAGGTGAAAATTTTCACCTTTTAGTCTGAAAAGTTTCCTGTTTTTTGAAGAAACCAGTTAAAAAACGAAGACACACATGTGTGAATCCAGATTCACTGCAGTGAATCCAGATTCAGTTATGTGAGGTGTTTGTTTTTTACCATAAAAATCGTAACTTTTAGCTGTAAAATGTGAAATCTTTTCATGGTTTAAAATTTTATAGCTTGATGAAAGATGAATTGTTGATGTGTTCTTCCTGCAAAGAATGTTGTTTTCGAAGCTGAATTGTTGCTGTGTTCTTTCCTACAAAGATGGATGATGAAAGATGAAAGCTTCATAGAAGATGGAAGATGGTTAGGATGGTTTTTAATGAACTGTTGTCGTGTTCTTCATGTGAAGATGGAAGATCAAAGCTTGATAGAAGATGGAAGTGAGTTACAGAGAGCGGGAAGTTAGTTAGAGAGAGAAATGGGGAAGTGAAAGGGCGTGTTGTATTTTTTGTTTTAATCATTATCTCCAATTTCCAATGTTGCCAGCCATAATTGTAGTGAATCGTTCCAATTTTACCCTTTTCACATTAATTTTTATAGCTGATGTGTATTAGATTTGTGTATATTTTCAATTCTGCCATCGAAATGTAGGCCATTGGATTAAATAGATTGGAGGGTTAGGATTGGTTTTTAGTTCTCTAGGTTTTTATTAGAACCTCTCCCTATATATATATATATATATAGTACCTTTTATTTTTTTTAAAAAGGATAAAGTGTGATGACCTTCAAATTGCATTCGCCGAGATCCGAGTTTTATGGCCCAATCCAATATTCGCCTGGAAGCCTGCCTCCCTGGCCCATATTTTAGACTCTTTTCATTGTTGCTTTAACTAAACAACAATGCCATATATCATACTCCCTTTAAAAACACGAGTTCGGGAAAATCTCTCTATGGTCAATATTACCTTTCACTATTTTAAATATTTCATTTATATCTTAATCTATCATAATTATATCTTATCCTAATCCTAAATGAACCATCTATAGCTTAACAATTAAAAAATAATATTAATAAAATATATAAAATATCTTCATGGTATTAGTTTGTTAAGATAAAGAAACTATACGTAGCTAATGTACTATAATACATAAAGTATTGCAAAAAACCTAAAAGTTTTAAAATTGTACAAAATGCCCTGAAAAGTTTAAAATTATAAAAACTATCCCCACGTCTAAAAACTTAAAACAACAAACATGAAAACAATAAATTAGCACCAGTTTATGAAGAATTTAAAATTTGCGGTTAACATCTCAATATCTCAAAAATTATAGAAACACCCTCAAAAGTTTAAATTACAAACAAAAATTTGCGGTTAACATCTCAATATCTCAAAAATTATAGAAACACCCTCAAAAGTTTAAATTACAAACAAGCACATGAAATTCTAAAATTTTAAATTATAGAAACACCCTCAAAAGTTTAAATTACAAACAAGCACATGAAATTCTAAAATTTTAAAACTTGCAAACAACATAGATGAATTCAAGGGATTACCATAATGTATGAAAATTTTTGACATTTTAAAACTTAAAACAACAAACATGAAATCAAGAAATTAACAGCAGCCTCCAAAGAATTTAAATTTTTTAATTAACACCCTCAATGTCCCAAAAATTATAGAAATACCCTCAAAAGTTCAAATTATAAAAATAACCCTAACATTTTAAAAATTCTAAAACCGCAAATCTGAAAACTATTGGTAAACCGCAAAAATTTGAATTTTTTAAAAATTAATCTACAGTTTTAACAATTAAAAAAACAACCTTAAAATTTTAGAGTTGTAAGAAATATCGTGACATTTAAAAATTACCATCGACGTATGAAACATAGATGTTACAACTACCAAACTTAAAAGTAATTTTTTAAAAATATGCTTAAAGTTTTAAAAATTACAAATCACACCCTCAAAGTTCAAAACAAAAAAAAAAGGCTGAAATTTTAAAACTTGATAAAGAAAAGTATAATTGTTAGGTATTCTTTCATTAAGATATATATATATAATTTTCAATTTAGGGTTTACTCTCTCTTTTCAGCATCTAAAGATAGTCTAAGTTGATACTAGTAAACAAAACCAATAGGAATTGATTAAAAATATCCGTTTAGGGAATAAAATTTTAAAAAATATTATAGCTTAAAAATTATTGCTATTATATAAATTAAAGCAAATGCATAAAATTTTATTAATAAGTTGGACCAGCAAAACACATTAGTAACATTAATTGATAGATGTTTAAATTTATTAATAAGTTGGACCAGCAAAACACATTAGTAACATTAATTGATAGATGTTTAAATCCATAAAAATAATAAAAGACTATAATATAATAGCTTAGCATTAATTAATTACAATTTAAAAACATTAATCTCTGGTATTAATAATATTTATAGGGTAAACGAATACAATTAATTATGTATGGAGAAACTATCAGAATGTTCAGAGATATCCTTCAAAAGAATCAAGTTATTTCCGTTGCAAATGGGAAAGTGGCGAAAATAAATCTAAAATTCAAAAAACGTCCATAAATCATTTGAATTGGCATTAACATAAGACATGTCTATTAAAGAAGTACCAACTAAGTTATATTGAAGAATAATTTAATAATTTTATCCCAATCAAAGAAGAATTCTCTATGGAAGATATAAGAAAAATTGGTAAGCATTCATAAATTTTATACTTTGTTCTTCAAATACTAAAGAAATTAAATATTAATATTATAATCTAAGGAAAATTAGCAATAAAAATATAGGTATTTAGTTTAGATCTTTGTGGAAAATGATAGGGATAGAGCAAATGTAATATTATTGACGTAACTGTAGGCATTGAAAATTGCCTATAGGTCTCCACGAACAGCTCAGTGTTAAGGAACGACAATGAACGTCACTATTTGGTTCACAGGAGTTCGACTGGTGTCGGTGAACGATTGAAGTGAACCGACGAACTGCGTGAGCTGACAGAATTTTGGAATAACGAAGGCACAGGCTAATCGAGAATCCCGCGATGTTTACAAAAGGAACAACACCCTTCGTGTCTCGTTCATTCTATAGATAATCTAACCATTGGAACTGATAGAACTCTTCGTCAGACTTTCAACGCATTTGAAATCACTCAAATCCGAGTTCAGACAAAGAAGTTACAGCGAAAACAGTCAAACGGGCATTGAAAACGTCTCAAAGCTGAACTGAGG